TTACCTTTTCAGCTGAATTCATGCATGTGTTGTAGGCTAGATTCCACCTGTGGAATAAGTTCATGCTAAAGCTAGGTCAAACCACTGCGCTAGATCACCACTGCATAATTATGGGCTGGTAGAATATGTGCCTAACAACACAACTTATAACTGTGTAGAAGGGGCAAGAAGGCCTTAACAGATAGCATAACTAATAATACTATTATGCATACAGTACAATGATTAGTTTTATCTAGAGCCAACATTAAATTGTGCAATTACAGTCGTAAGCAAAAGTTTGAACACCCCTGGTAAAGTGACAAGATTTGTTGATTTTCTAAGTGAAAATAAATTAACACATTAACACTCCCCCCATTTCAGCAAATAAACAGTAACTGTGCATTGAAATGTGCAGAAGTGTGTTCTCTGTAGAGGATGTGTTACTTATTTCCAACAAAACATGTCATTTGACCTTTTGCATATGACTGTATGTAAAAATGAATTTTAAATTGTTGTATCATTCATTGTACCATTATATAACACTTCATAATTGCTGTATAATGATGTACAATAAGGTTAATTAAAAATACAAAGCTTACGTATCACCAGGTAATTTATAATGACAGATTTTGATGATAATTTCAACGTTTTTTTACAGAAAAAGGTGATTACTTATCTAATATGAAATATTATAATGCATACATGATATTCACAGCTATACTGTACTATACTATCACTATGACCTGTTTAGTAATAAAACAGCAGCATGAAACATCGCATTATGGTATTACGTAAACTGTTTTCTATGCTTTTAATTGGTGTACTGCTTCAATAAAACATATAGTAATTTCCTAAAAAAGATTTCAGAAAGATATTGTGCAGCTTTGAAAAGTCCCGTTGCGATTTTCCTCTTTTCTTTTTCCCTATTTGTGTACAAATTGCCTAATTATAAGCTCGGCCTAAGTGTCATAACAAAATAAATGAGTACATGCCACCCACTTGTTTTAATTTTGCTGTTTTAATTTCCCGCTGTATCTGCAGGTGATATGAGTTATACGCCCTGCTGAAGAGAGAACACAGAAATAATTGATGACTGAGTAATTTATTCTGAACTAATTAAAAACGGCAAAGTGAATTCAAGCTGTGTTCATTTGGTGTATATATAGTGGTTTTGCTGCTCTACTCTTTTTTCTGTAATTCTTTTTTTTTTTTTTGAAAATGTGGTTGATTTAGTTTGCACTGCTTGTTATCACTTCATTCTTTAAGTGACAGGATGTGTTTAGAGCTGCCAAGTCAACAAAAAAAAACAACAGCTATTTCTGTGCAGAGCAGAGCAAGACAAACACTTTCTGCTAATACATGTTCTCCTACTGCAGGCAATTACAATTACATTATATACATTATATATAGATAGACTGGACTGGCCGCTATACTGTGGCCTGGGATTCGACGGTATGGTCAGTGTTGTTCAGGGCCATTTCCAGAAGGTGGCAGCAGCGGCTAATTTACCCTTACTCATCTGAGACCACTTGCCCTTTCCCTTGGCCTACGCACTGGTAATATACTAAAGCATTTGTGAAGCATTAGACTGCATGTCAATTGACTAATCAGGAAATTATGTTGCTTTATTCATAAGACGTGTTAGAAGGTGATAACTGTCAATATGTGTAAGATTAGAATGTGTTAATTATCATTAGGAGGAAGATTAGAATATGGTGTGCATTGCATTTACATTACACTGCATTAACAGTAATTCAAATTGTTGTACAACATAGTGATAGTTTTACATTCTGATGTGCACAACATCAACAGAGCTGTTAAAGAACCCTCATTATGGAAAAACAGATTTTTCTCACTCTTTTAAATGAGTTTCATGCAAACATTGTTAAACATGTTAAAGATACTGTTCACTCCTCCATCTGTACAGTTCATGTATTAAATATAATCTGCAAAAACCATTGTTTTTGTGATGTCACACACTGATTCTGTATATCTGATTATTTAACTTACAGCAGTTTAGCTAAAATCTGTTACAATTATTAGAAGTGTTTAAGCCTGGGCTGCTTTTTGAATGAGGCGCAACAAAGGGCAGCCGGTCAGAATGGAGAGTATTTACATATCGTCGCTATCAGAACAAAAGCTCATATTTTCAAAATGGCAACTTTACAGTAGAAGGAACAAACATTTTTAACTTGTAATGGAAGTGAATGCAACAAGATTTATTCATAGAAGCAATTTTGGACCACTTTTGTTGGTCTGTTCATCATGAAATTTTAACCCTATGCTAAGGTCAACTGGAGATTTCATAGTATGCAAAAACATAAAACCACACCAATGTTACAAAGGAAGCTCCCTTCATTTGCATATTATTTTAGGCTTATAGTTTTAGATACAGTTCCCAACAGCAATACATCTTGCATTCTGTCACCCTCTAGTAGAAACCTCAGTGTAAACATTGAGTGGTTTAGCCTGGTCATGGTCTGGAAGAAGAATGAGAATTTCGTTTTTGATTCAAATAAAGATGCTGCCAAAAAACACTCAAATCAGGCTTTCGCAAACAAGCCAACAAAAAAAAGAACAGCAAAAACAAAAAAGACAGTATGTTATCCAGTTTTCAGAGGTAACGTTGGTTATCAAGATATACTAGAGCTATTAACAGAAATTATGCTATAGTAACTGCAGTTTTCAAATAGAAATAATGCAATAGAGCTGTCTAAACATAAACATGTCCTACTGCAAATGTAGCCTTTATCAGGTTTTTCCCTGATAAATCAACACTGCAGTGTACCCTCTGTTTTTGTTTGACATGATCTCTCAACCACTGAGATGTAAAAATTTAACTTAAAAGTGAAAATGAAGTAAAAAGTGGCCCAGTATCTGCTGTGGATGCTAAGGCTCTTCTGTATCCTCCCTTTCTATCTTTCAGCTTGAGCAAAGTACAAACTAAAAGCAGAATATATCAGTTATTCCACCAGTGAATTTCATGATATACAGCTGGATAAACATGTATGTTTGTGGTGATTTCAGTGAGTTTCAAATAATGTCCCTGTCCCACTACTCAAAAAGGGTGACTGCCAAGATCCAGCGCTTTAAAGAAGCACATGTTTTGACCAGCTGCATACAGTATATTGATATTGATATTTTGGAGCTATTTTCATCAACATATTATGATTTTATGTGTGTACAACTGTTCAAAGCTGTGTTTGCAAGTCATGAACTGGCTAGTGTTTTTAAGTTCTGCTCAAAATTAGCTAACATTGTCACCAAAAACATTACTACACCCTTGGTTCTTCAAGGGTTCTTTAGTAAAGAAACTTGTTCTATATAGAACCATTAACTCTCAAAGAGCCATTTGCATGATTTAATAGTGAGTTCTTCAGATTGATGGACAATGTGCTGTATATGGTTCTATATAGAACCAAAAATAGTTTTATTGTTGCAATGTCAAGCCTTCTACAACAGAAGAATGCTTTTTGGTGCTATATAGAATGATTTTCAAAAAACACATATACAACACATTCTCCATCAATCTGAAGAACAATTTCACCACAAAAAGAACTGTTTAAGCTTGAAAATGGTTCTTTGGGTGTTAATGGTTCTATAAGAACCATCTTTTCTAAGACGGTACTGAAACATTTGATAAAGTTTTGGTAGTGTTATGATTTTATTTATTAACAAAATAAAAAGTAGAATAAATTTTGGCAAGTTTTAACATTGTGACAGGTTCTGCTAAGACAAATGAGGTGAAGCAAGATGCCTGTGCATTAAATTTTCAGGAGGCCCAGAATTCCAACTAGCACCTCTGATTTAAGATATTATATTGTATTGGTATCAGAAAAGAAAACATGCTATTGTACAATATCTATTCAAGATTTTCCAGAAGCTAAGTGACCAGCCATGCAGTTATCAAGTACTACATTATTTACAAATGTAACAAGTTGCTCAAGGCTGAGACAAAGATAAGATTGTTACCCAACAGAACTGAGAAGAAAAGTGTAGCCTTCAGCAATGATTCACCTTGTATAGGACAGTGGGATCTACATATGCTTAACCAACTAGAGGCGTCTTCTTATTAAACTTTACATGACCATAATCAATAATGACAAAGGGGTTGTTAGCATAGGGGGGTCTGGAGATGTTAAATGGGACTGTTGTGGAATAAGTGCTTAATCTTTCCTCTGCTCTTCAGGGAAGAGGATAATGAGAGAAATGCCCCGTAGAACATTTTCTCCTCATTGTTGCATGGTAGCTTCATAAGCCTGAGGTCAGGGACAATGGCCCTGTTCGCTTGTTTCACTTGGATCAAGTCCTCTGAGCTTGCCCGAGCTTTCGGAACATCTGAAGAGCTAAGCACTCTGTACTGTCATCATCATCCTGGGCCACTTGCCCAAGCAGTGGCAGCTGGTACCTTCCACAGCCCAATTCCCCTGAGAAGGGCACCATTCCCAGCATGACCAAGCTCCAGCCCTGCTCCTGACCATTCTTAGCCCAAGAGAAGAATCTAAGGGGGCTTCTGCGCAACTCCCCAGCGTTATGATAATCATGGATGAACACTGACACCAAACCCCCGTGTGACTCTGGATCCCCGGCTGTCACCCTGAGGCCATCCTACCACACACTGTCCCTAAGGCTTCTTCCACTGTCACTACCAATTAGCATAATCTGGCCATGGTGGCTAAGTCCTTAAGGGAGCCCAGGCTAGCAACAGATGGCTGCACTTGGGTCTGTTCTGCTCTGCTGTAGCCATAGCTGCTCTGCTAACTCTTGACTTGTCCTTTCTCTCCTTCTCTCCCTTGCCTCTTTGTGTTCAAATCTATTTTGTGCAACTTGTTTACACAATGGATTACTTGGAATGACCTGCTTTTTAAACGTCCCCCATTCCAAGCAAGGTGGACCCCTCCTAGCAAGTCCTGGTCATGGTGTTGCAGTAAATATCTACCCCTAGCGTCCCGCTGGAATACCCTGCTGCTGACAAGGTGCCAGGGGCAGAGAGAAGAATCCTTTTTCCCGTTGGTTAACCCCCCTCCCTCTTGGACGGAGCCAGGCTGAACGCAGAGCTAAGCTGGGAGCGCCTCGTCCTGGAGCAGCGTGGGGGAGACACAGGGGAAACTCTAGGGAACTCTGAGAGCCAACTGCGAAGCACCTGACCCAACCCAAGCTCTCAAGTCAGCCAGCCTCAGCATGGGGGCTTCTTATGGCAAGAAAGTAAGTGAGCGTCTCGTTTAAAGAGCTACGTTTGCTGACAGCGTCAGAAGATAGTTGAGCGCATGGCCTGTTTGTATGAGCAAGATGTAAACACTAAAGGTGACTTCTTGTTATGTTTACAGCTCCGTGCAAACAGAACGCTTTAATGCATTCTAATTGTGAATTCATGAACTATCATTGCTGCATTATTTCATTGAATAATTGATCATGAAATATCCATGTTTACCTTTAAAATTATGCATTTGATTAGGAAAATATTTCACACCGAGTTAATAATAAGTATAAACCAGGAATCTTTAGTTTTGGTTGGCATTGTTAAGCTTGCAGTCCTTATCAGCAATGATTTTTACATTTATAACTAACAACTAATGGCACAGGCAAGGTCAAGGTCCTTGCTTTTTTATTTTGTATCACATTCCCAGTTCTGCCAACTCAATTTCAACAGCACCAGCCAAAGCTCTCTCACTCCCGATTCCATGCATGCTCAAGGTTTTTGATTAACCCGAGCTCCCATTGTCAGCCACCACATCCAGCAGAGTACGCAAGTGGCTACATTCACAAATATTTGAGCAATGGGGTGGGCCGCGCCTGTGTGGAGGGTGTGGAAGAGGGGGTGTGGTGGGCTTGGAGTTTGATTCAGAGCTAAGGGCTGCTGGTGACAGCTGACAGCTGCTCTGGAGAGGGTCACTGTGGGATTAAGGGACACGCGAGAGGCTTCTTGTTACCTGGAGGAATTAGATCACATTTGACTGTACAGCCAGCTTTAACTGCAGGAAAACATGTTTATTATGTAACATATTAAGAACTGTAGATTAAAGCCAATGAGTACTCTGCCCTTTCTAGTTTTTCTAGGAGTCAAATAGAGTTACATGTAGAATAATCCTGGTTGTGAGGCCCAAACGCACTGGTGCATTGCTTTCAACAAATGGTGTAACCACTAAACCATAGCAGCACTGATATTCTCTTACACATTCCTCCTGGACTAGAGGCTGTTCCAGGCCACTGCAAATGAGGCATCCTCTAAAAAAAACTTCACTCAGTCCAATGAAGTCCAGTGAAGGAGATGGACTTAATGGACAATGACTAACTGAGCATCTGAATAAATTGACTACATTCGCATTGCAATCCCTGGTTCCTATCACCACCACTGTACAGAAATCTGAGTCAGTAGGTTTATCTATAGTGAATCACTTCACATCCATAAACCACTAATTGACTCTGTTTACATCTCAGTGATTTAATTATGGAGAAAGTTTAATAAGAAGTTAAAATGTTGAGAAGTTTTACTTTGCAGAAATAGCTAAATTAAGAGCTGCAATCTGAAAGCTGATATAACATTAGCAGCATGAGAGTAAGAGGCTACAGTCATACAGAGGAGCTGGAACATGTAGCCATTGTTGCTGTCACTAAATAAAAATTAGAAACTGCTTTCACCTTTTCATGTTTAGGTTCATGTACACTTTACATTCACATGATAAAAATAATGTTATTGAATTACGGAAAGTCAAAAACACATTCTGATGAAGATTAATGTGACTGATCGTGATTAATAAAGCCTGAAAAGCTATACAAGGTACAAGGACACAGATATGAAACAGAAAGAATTTGCTGAAAGAGAGACAGAGAGAGAGACAGACAGAGAGAGAGAGAAAGAGAGAGAGAGCGAGAGAGAGAGAGAGAGAGAGAGAGAGAGAGAGAGAATAGTGCTTTGCTCTGCTCTGCTCTGGAGCTGAAATGTCAGCGTGTGTCAGTACTGTAATTTCATCCTCTCTGCGCCAGCTTCCGGGCAGCTTGGCATGAGCTGAATAACTCGAATACCCCTCACGGCACTGGCACAGTCCCCACTGCCCATGCTTCAATCACAGACTTCTAAAGAATAGCACAAGAAGCCATTCCGTCTAAACTTTCCATTCCCCCTATCTGCAATGGTTTCTCCTGTCTCTGAAGGGCAAAACCATCCACATTGAAGCTACAAGGTTTGCTTTGCTTGTATGTACTTATCATATATGATTTCATTACACTTTTGTCCAGCCATCGTCCCATTTCACGCCTAATTGAGTAGAGACATACCTGCAGATCTCTTTTGCAACCAGCATGGAAACTGGGAGTCTAATTCTATTCCAGGCCACAGTGAGCAGGCTGCATCCTCTGTGTTGCTGATTTTTAAAGCCATGGTCAAAAATTGTTGTGACTAACAGAGCAGTTTTATTCTTGGGTTTTTGAATTACACCTACTACAACAGGTTAAGGGTGGACAATACGATATTTTATGGTCATTGTGCTAAATTAGAACATTGCCCACATGTCGGCTGTAATTAGGCAGCAGCCCTAAATATATCGACAGCCCTTTTTAAATATCTATTTTTTTACTTACGATGTTAACAACTTTAGGCAAGATTCCACTAGATTGTTTTTCATAAACAAGCCACACAGTGTCATTGATCCAAAGCATCACTTTTTCCTGTAGCCATTTTTGTGACCTTAATCTTCATTTTATCTAAGTCCATAAGGTTTAACATTCACTGCTTCAATGCATTATTTGAGTATGAAATTAAGTAAACAAATGCCAGCCCAGTGCTTGTATTAGACCTGTGGGAAACACTGATCACACCACACCTTTGTAAGCATACCAAAAGCACTTCTAGATTGCTACAATGCTAAACAGCTGCATCTATTAAAGAAAATTGTATAAAGTCTATATAGTAACTGTATGATGCAGGGTAACAAGAAGCCCAATGCTCCTGTTCCTTGAAAACTTTTTAAATATTTAAATTTTATGCTAATTTTTATGCACAATTTTTTTATCATTTTTTTTACTACATTAGAAAACAATAAAATATAAATGATATGCACCATTACTTTCTTACAGGCCACATTTTATGTCTTATTTTTTCCCAATATACTAAATTCATTACATAAACCTCAAACATAAACAGCAATTTTGCATTTAAATGTCTTCTCTGTAGAGGATCTGTCAACATATTTTCACTTAGAAAATCAACAAATCAGCAAAACGTGCAATTTGACCAAGAGAACCCAAACTTTTTGACTGTATTACTCATGATGTTCGTTTTACATAGCAGACACTATTAGTTACAAAGAGCAAGATGAATTTAAAAATTGTAGTTCGAGGTTTGCAGCCTATTTTAAATGTGACTGCTATTTTGCTGGTGGATTTTGTCTGTTCTAGGGTCATAACCACTGGTAGGCATGGGTGAACCCTGGAGCTATCACTATATTATAGCCAATCAAATTATTTTGCTCTCGGCCAAGCTTCAACTTATAGTATTAATCCTTTAATCACTGCACAGCAACCATTGATATCCACCATTGCCTCAAGCCTTCAGTTTGTTTTTGGTGTACTAGTGTTTGAGCTTGAAGTTTCAGCTGCAGTTAAAAGATGTAAAAGTGAGGTTCCCATAAAGTATGTCATTTTCTACCCATTCAAAGCCAAAAAATGCCAGTTTCACTGCAAAGGCTGAAATCAAAGGTAACTTCAATTAATCAAAAGTAAGACATAAACATACCTGCCAATATGTTTTTAGTATTGATGACTATGTTTAGGTTTTCATGTATAAGTCTCTCCCTGTGCCAGTATGCTTTAGCCTAGGATGATGAAGTTTGGGTTATGAAGTTTGTTGTGTTGTTTTGTACATCTCAGCTCTCTGACATTAATTTAACATTAGTTATGTCATGTTCATTGGGCAAACATGCCTTTGGCAAGCAGGCGCATGCTTTACAGTCTTTGTAGTGAAAGCTGCTGCAGTGTTTTTTGTGTTTATGTCAATCCAGCATTTTGATTGATTGCCAGAGTACAGTGATATCACAACAAGACAGAAGCATTGGATGAAGTAGGCTGATAATTGCAGGATTAGCCGTCAGGATTAGGCTACAGCCTGATGTATTGACAGTTTAGAATATTATCGCATTTGGAAGTTGTATCTACCAAACTGGCCTCCCACTTTTTCCACAGGCCTACTCAAAAATGTATTGCTGCCTATGCCACTGGTCGGTTCCGATCTCTTCACACACCTCAGGGAAACTAAGTGTTGTAATACCTATCATGTTTCATGAAGAATGATCTGTATATTATGTTTGTGCCGTATTGCCTGCCCCTAACTATAGCTACAGTCACAAGCTTTGTGTTAGAAAACTATGTTAGTCCTGGAGTGGCTGTTTTGTGGGTTTGTGCTCCAGCCAGGAGGTACCCTGTTTACACTGATTTGGGACCAGAATGCTGCATTCCAGGCTTAACCTGAAGCAGTTGCTCTTAGCTCAGTACAAAGATAGGAAAGTTATATATAAAAAAATCAGTCAGCACAACGGTAGCATGTGACTGACCTACTGCTGTACTTGACGTCAAGTCGAGTCAAATCCTGTTGCGCCAAAGACCTACTGCACTGAGGCAGATTAGGCCAATCAGAGAAAATCCTTTGTGAATTATCCAACGGACAAGCTAAAAATAATCACTTTGCCTGGAAGGAATTTAACTCTGCAGGAGCAAGTGTTTACATCCTAAACTGACAGACAGTTGTTTGTTGGCCCTTTTCTGTTCCAGATGACTCAACTCTTTCTGCATAGCATTTAAGAACAATTCTTGTTTAATAAGTAGGCGCTGCATAAATAAAACTTGGCTGTTTCATGTGTTTGCACCACAACATTGCATAAATCTCACCGTTCTGAACACCTCCTAGTCAACGTGTTATCATCTTTCAAAGCATGGGGGTGTATTTTCATTAAATATGTAGGTTTATACAAACAACTGATGGACAGATTGATTGAAAAATGCAGTACTGGACAAAATTCAGAGACTAGCCTTTTATTTATTTGCTTTCCAGTCAAAATGACATTATGTACAAGCATATTATTATAGAAGCCTCAAGAAAAAATGACTAAATTTTTTCACTATTTATTTTGTCCATGCTTTGCCTTTGTCCCAGCTTCCATTCAATTTGGCAGCCTTGTTTTCAGTTTTTCAAAGAAATCCGCAGGGATATTTTG